GACATCTTTGATACAAGTAACGAGTTCACTTCCAAGTGAACAACCCGATAGTCTTCTTCTTATCATAGCATACCAACCAGCGAACACCCAGCCAAGTTTAGTTAGCCAGTTTGAGTATTCGTTACACCTAGCTAGATTAGCCCTAGATATACTTATAATAACTACTATATCAAGTAATTATAAACGTATATTCTTATAAGTAAAGCTATTAATTATAGGTTAAAGGAATTATCTTCGACCTAATATAATCGAGGTAAAGTAGTATTCACGAATATAAATAATCTTAGACAAGTAATTAGATTACTTCTAAAGAGCTTTCGGCAAATATATAAAATAATCTTGGAATAGCCTTATTTTTTAACCTTATTTTAGTCTCTCCTTCCTACTCCTCTCCCCGAATCCCACCTCTCCTATCTAAGGCTCCGGAGAGGAAAGGAGGGGAGATTCCAAATACTAGGTTTTATATAGTAGTAGTGGCACCCGACTATATCTCTTACACTTTTAAGTAACAATTATTCTAAACTATTCGTATAATTAATATAGTTATATAAGTTCTTTAGAATAACATTTTTATAACTCAGGTGTGTATAGAGCAATACCCGCATCTCTTACACTTTTGTTTAGTCGACTGATGCACAGAGCGATTGAAGAAAGCAGTTGAATTATCATCTGATTTTAGAATACCCAGCAAGAGCACTGCTGAATCTGTTGCTTAGTACTGTCCTTGACCTTGCCCTACATCCCTTTGAACCGCGCCCACCGCAAATTCAATTCTGGCTACCATTTATCTACCCATTATCTACCCTTTGGTATCATAAGTTATCCCCTCATACCTCGAGCCCGTTTATCCAGAGATGTTTAATCATGTCTGAGATGCCTTCGCATCATTCAACTGCTTCTTTCTACGCACCGTCCAAGCCTGCACAAATTCCACATCCCGAATGTGCTGCGTATTCGGCATATACCTCCATTCCCCAACATCCGAGTTCCATCCCCGATTAGGCAAGTAAGCCTCCAACATATAATAGTTATCACGATGAAACGGGAAGTCCAAAGAAGGTGGTCCATTTCGCGCAAGGAACTCATCAGTTTCCGCAGCGGCATTCTCAGGCGTCATCCGGAATCGACGTCGTTTGTTGCCTGCGTTATTTCCATGACGTCGGATCGAGCCAATGGTCGATTTGAGATGGTACTCCAGGGTCCTTGCGTACCACAGGGGATTTTGGAGTGCTTTTTCGACGAGAGAAGCGTTGAATGAGATGAGGTTTTGGTTCCATGTTGAAACTTCTCCACGGCGAAGCATGGGAATTGGGTCTCCTGAGTCCAGATTCTTTTGCCAGTGTCCAAAATCGACCAGGAGACATAAATTGTTCCAAGCCAAAATACAGGTCAGGCACGTGCAGATATTGTGGGGGTCCGGGGTTTGGACGTGTTGATATGGTTTCTTGTGGATGTGGAGATGTGTTGCCTGTCTCTCACTATCCAGTAGAGCAGAATGAAAACTCTTGTCGACATTTTCAAGTAGAACAGGAAGGGGGAAACAGCGAGTGAGAACTGGATATCGGGAATCGATGAGTTTGGCGGCAATCCTCGACTGGTCGTCTTTGATATAGTTTCGTAGGCCTTTATTGACTCTGGATAATCTAATGACATCGCTAGGACGAAGATTGCTAAGAATATCGAGCAAAATCTCGGATGGTAAATCCATCATGGTTGCTTGTGGTTGAGATGCCATTTCTTGTTTCAGGTGGCGATTTTTCTGCTTTCTTTCCGTACGTTTAGAGTGAAGGGGAAGAGCCGCTGTAGTATCAATCAGGGGCTCAGAGAATTTATCAGATGTTATTGGCTTGGAGTTGCGCATATCAATGGTAGGTGCCGAGGGGTGTGGTTGCTGAGACGTTTATAGGTGCCAATTGTTTGATATCCAGAGGTTCCTGCAAAGACTGGGGTGCTATGGGATTGCGTCAGTCACGTGATGCAACTTACGTGATGTCACAAACACGTCAAATTTTGTAGATCATTCCAACTCATCACCAACCTTTTCAAGACAAACAAAAAACGCGTAATATTAACGCGTTTTTATTATTGAATCACTCTATCATATCTACCTACTGAGCTCTTACTCCTTGCAAAGCGCAG